CCTCCTGACGTGCTGTTAGGTGGTGCACAACTTAACATTTTACGCCGTTGGATCAATTTAATCTTACAGTAGGCACTTAAAAAAAAAATTTTTATTTTTTATTTAAAGTGGATTATATAAAATACTATTTATATGACTTTTAAGGAAATCTTATTCTGCTAAATGCATTAAAAAATGGTTTTTTATTAAAATTTTTATTTAATAATATTTTATTTAAGAGTTAAATATTTAAAATTTAAATTTATATAAAATATTATAAAAAATTCTAAGGCTTAAGATGATATTTCTATAATATATATATATATATATAGTAATACAAATAACATTCAAATCGACTAAAAATTTGCTTAAGATGATATACTAATTAAGTTTATAAACCCACATAATTAAAAATCAAGGGTATGTATATATGTATCATTCTCTTATAATTAACATGTTATCAAATATCCCATTTGTGTCCTTTTTTTTTTTCTCCGAAATGCAGTTTTCATCTTGAAGATCATGTGCAAAGTTCTCCAACTGTCTGAGGCCGTGCGATAATCCATGTGAACAAAAATGTATTAAGTAGTGTCTAAACTGAATTGCATTGCAAACTGCTGATGATCATTGTCGCCGAAGGTAATTCATTCATTTCTTTCCACAACTTCTAATCAAAAGTTGGTTGGACTTTCCCTATCTCAGGTGAGTCTGAGAGCACTGAGGATCCTTCCAACTTTAATCACATTTCAAAAGAAAAAAGCTTTAATTGTCTAGCTTTTCAAGGGACACTAGGACTGTTAAAGATAAGAGCCCCATTGCATCCTATGCAAAGCAAATAGGACTTTTGGATTCTGTCTGGGCACAATTCTTTGAACAATGTATATATGCATGTTTTATTTTTATTTTATTTTATTTTATTTTATTTGGTAGAAAGAGAGACAGCATAAATATTTAAAGTGCTACAGTAGTCCTGGGAACCAATAATATACGAAGACAAAACATTACAAAGATCGGAAGGACATTGATCAAGTACAACAAAAGGATTTTGATATCGAGAATGTTAATATAGTATACTTGACAAATTTAAGCAGGTGGGAGATTGTCCAACGTCCCTCTGTGATTTTATTTTTATTTTATTTATTTATTTATTTTGAACAAATTTACAAAGGATCGAATTCGAACCGTTGCCTTGAAATGAGAAAATACACTTGTGCATAACTTAACGTTTCTGAATCCGAAAGTTCAAGTGCCTCTGTGATTTTATTTTGTTTGTCTTTTCTTCATCAATTCTCATAAAAAACATATAAGTACATATGTATTAATTATAATGTTGAGTGACATTATAGTAATATAATTATTATATATTATTATATAATTAATTTTTTTA